AAAATTTTGAGTTTTTTTCTTTTCATTTATGTATGTTAAACTCAAATTGAATTTGAAATAGACACTAAAATGGTTGTTTTATACATAATTTTATAACTTTCAACATATCCATAAATCCATATACCAACATAAAACCAATATTTATTGATTTTCCGTTTAATATATAGATGCCGTCTTGTTTTGACGTTTAGTTTGACGGGAGAGGAGTCCTATTCTTTCATAGATCATTTTCCTCCCGGCAAAATTTCCATCTATATATATATTAATAGCCCAATAATCCAATATACTTGTCGTTAAACATATTTGAATGGTAGATTGTATATTATCTAAATTTGTACTAAATTGACTAACTAATGTTGTGATGAGTATTATGCAAAAACATCTCTCAACACTGGCCGACAGTCAGGAGGATACCAGCCTCGGGCTAAGGCCCTCTCTCGTAAATCCTCAGCGGCTGATTTTTGGCGGTCTATATAGGGGTCAAAGAGGTGGCAAAGTGACTTGGCAAATTCTAGGCTAAAGGATCGACGGAATTTTGCTATTTCGAAGATTACACAGCTACAGTCAATATAGCCGCTAACCCTTATGCTTTATAGGTTGATTTGGTCGGTCAGTCCAACTACAGAAGAGGTGTTTATCCCGAAATATATTAAATCCAAGTGGCATACTGAAATTTTCAAAGCTGCTGTTGAGTCTGCTATATTTCAGAGACGGTCAACTAAAATGTATTGATGAGCAATGAGTCTATATTTGATCATTTCATATTTAATCTCCCTATATATCTAGCCAATACAACGACCTTCCCACTTTGTAATAAATAACTCTGGCGGTTCATCGGTGGCGGAGTCTTTCCATGGTGGACGCCAACAAAGAATAATCTAATATAATACACTGTGGCATGCAATTGTAAAACGATACTTGAAGTTTCACCGCATGAGTTTCTTCTAAACGACAAATTAAAATTTATTTTAAGGTGAAATATCGACTATTTCTAACCTTTTAGATGAGGTATGAAAGGATGAATTATGAAGAGTAATGACGAACGGAAAATTAAAAGTGTCCAGGGGCGGGAATCGAACCCACAACATAGTCGATATTTCACCTTAAAATAAATTTTAATTTGTCGTTTAAAAGAAACTCATGCGGTGAAACTTCAAGTATCGTTTTACAATTACATGCCGCAGTGTATTATATTGTATTATAAGTTGCTTTATGTATCATTTACGAACGGAAAAAATACGTCCAGGCTAGCCTAGTGGACATGGCACCTGCCCGGTAAGCAGAAGGTTGTGGGTTCGATTCCCGCCCCTGGACACTTTTATTTTTCCGTTCGTCATTACTCTTCATAATTCATCCTTTCATACCTCATCTAAAAGGTTAGAAATAGTCGATATTTCACCTTAAAATAAATTTTAATTTGTCGTTTAAAAGAAACTCATGCGGTGAAACTTCAAGTATCGTTTTAAATAATAATCTGTACATATTTTATATATATATATATATATATTCGTCAATTATCTTATATATTTATTTTTATTTTATTCTATATGTTACATTATCTAGTTCATTTATTCATATTTATTCATTTTTTTATTTAACCTTATATGGACATATATATATATTGTAAAAATGTATATATATATTTTTTTCAACCCCAATCTCTCTATCTCTCTTTGTTATAGGAAAAATGGACCGGGATCAAGGCAGATATGGTCGCGGAGATACGGTCACTCGCGCCTGCTGTCGACGATTCCGGCGGTGGATACATCGAGAGAGCACGCTTTCTGGGCGGAGACTGGAGGACGATACTGCCCGCTTCGACTATCATTCCCTGTCGGACCTCGGGCATTCTCTCCGAGCCAGACGTCGCTTTCCTTCCACCTTCATCGACGCCATATCCTGGGGCCATCTTAGGTTTTCCTTTTGGAGCGCTTAAGCAGGCTCCAAGATCTAGAAGCGATCGTCGACTTACTAGCTGAAGTGACACCCCTTGGAGTTCAAACAAGTGGAACCAGCTCTTTGTCGCAGACATCTCCCGCGACCAGATAGCGGCCGTGCCTCGGGATGAGAAATATCACCCTGCGAGTTTGTCTGAAGAAATCATGATGAAGATGAAATCATCTGAAGATTAATTTGGAAAGTCTTTGAGGCTTCTGCGGGGCCTTGCCTCTTTTTTCGAAGGGCAGGAAAGTCATCCTGCAGCAAAGTCACACAGTGGTCCGGGTCTACAGGCATTTCGTCTAATTAGCCGCCCAATGACCGACCACAGGCTCCTCAGCGACGTGCTCATGGACCGTCTGCGTCATCATCTGTCAGACCTCATTTCCGAATGTCAAACCTACGCCGTTCCAGGACTGTGACATTACGCGAATGATAGACATAGTCGCCTGGGCAGTGAAAAATGACACACCGCTGGCTGTCATATTTTTGGACCTGAAGTCGGTGTTCGATAGCCTGAGTAGGAGCCATCTGTTTCCTCTTGTTGGAGAAACCAGGACTATCATCTGCCATCCTCGGGTAGTTTCTGTATTCTACGGGGAAGCAGACGCCTCCATCCTGGTCGGAGATGTTTATACCAAAGCCTTCTCGCTCCTCAACGGGGTGAGACAAGGTTGCCTTCTCAGCGCCGCTCTCATCAGCATTGGACTCATCACTCTACAGACTTTATAGAAATAACTTGTCTCATCTAATATATGAAAGAAGAATCGGGCAAAATATATTGTAGTCTTAGTTCGTTACGAAAAATAATTAAGAAGAGTTTCCTCACTCCTATTTCCATTTAAGTGTTGGCGTATTCCTGCGACTTGGCCTAGTTGTGCATAAAACCTCTCTGGGGACAGTTTAGATTTAAATACCGCGGGTGACACCCTGGGCTAACGACGTTAATGGCCACAATTAAAGGGTCATCCCGCAATCTCTTGAAATCTCGGCGGCTCTAATTACTCGGTCGTTAGAGGATTTTCTTCTCTTCGGGGTCCTCCACTGGGTGTCGTTACCTACTTTCCCTTGTTTAGCACAAAGGTAGATTCATCATCACTGACGAGAAGTGATTCCAATGGTCCTAGTTGAGTATCCAACCATTACATATGAATCAGGTACGAATACAATGGGGAATTTTTCCTAATATTTCTTTGGAGAGGGTTTGTGGAAGACAAACTGTCAAGTTTCGACAATCACGAGCCAGGATCGAATCCCGAAATAGGCTCTTTTTTATAATTTCCTCAATGGCCTCTGATTCCCACAAATATTCTACCTTATCAGTGAAGTACAAGTATCCAAAACGTGGAACTGGTACCTTGTATGTTGTAAGGATTTAGCTTATTTCTACATATGAAGGCAAGTGGTGCGCTTACAGCAGTGGATAACCGGCAACCATGATTATCATGACTGCCTGTACTATATGTACTTATACACATTATGTAAACAGATATAGAAAACAGTTCGGCGGTGTACTTTTAATGTACTAGAGCCATTTCTGGCTACTTTTCGCACTGGTGAGTGTGGGTTTGTGTAAGTCGGCAGACATTGAATCAATTTATTGTTCATCAAACTGCGGCGGTCAAGTCCAGGTTGTCAACCGCACACTACCAGCTCTCAAATTTGAATAATCCTCTAGAAATCACAAGTGTGCCGTAGTAAATATTTGATCTACATGGAGGTGTGATGCATATATGGAGATGAACTTTAGAATACCTTTCTATCTCTACTGTAAATAATAAATACGAATCTTTTGGAATGCAATAGACACTTCTGAAGTAAATTTTAAAATTTTTGAAATTCTCCATGAGTAGCAATCAAATAATGATCCTGATCACTAAGCGTACAGTAGTCTGGGTTCACACAGCTATCCGTTGAATAAATGACAAATCAAATCAAAACTTTTCTCAATCCTTCTTATACACGTAGCGTTCGAGTTTGCCATAGCGGAAGATAGCGGGCTGCCGACAGGACTCCGAGCTCTCGTAACACACACACACACTACTGTTCTTCCTATTGTGATAGTGAGGAGTTATTATATTAGTTTATTGTTTTTTACCTTTTTATATAGAGTACATTATATATTTTTTGATCCTATAAAAATACTATAAGTCGAAAACCATTTTTCAGTTTCTTTGGGAATGAGCTATATATAAAAAGATATAGAAATCAGTGAGTTCAATAGCAGAGATACATATCATATTAAAATCGAAAAATGAAGTTTTCCAATGATTCTCTCTAAGGTCTACTACATATAAACTTGGAGGCTATGATCAGTTTGAGTGACAGGTGTTGTTCTCCCCAAGTGTTGCCCATCCTCACCAGCCGGAGTGAGACACTTCCCAATTAGCTAATTGTCCAATAAAAGACGCCAATCAATCAGCAAGTGCTAATGTAACAACGTGGTTGAATTGAAATAAATTACTTGGACTTTAAAGAAGAGACAGCTATGTCCCGAGATATCTCTTGGAAAGACCAATGTATATTCTCATCACCGCAGAGTTGGGCTCACTAATTGGTTATATTGGACACTGCAGCTATAATCTGTTTCTATCTGTTGACTTTTCTTTGAATTTTTAAAGATACTGATTCCCAAGAAGATTAATCAAACATTATTGATTTACAAGAGAGATAACAAAATAAAGGAGAAACTTATAACATATTAATAAAAGAGAAACTTATCTTCCTACAGTTATGGCCTATTTTATTGTTATCTTACAAAAATACTCTGTGATGGAACAATTAATTAATTAAAATATATAAATAGCACTAACGAATTCTGATAAACTAGTTGGTTCCATTAACACCATATAGAGTACTAATATGCGTTGCTATAATGAACGGGTCTTTCCTATTCTATATTTGTTTAAAATATCTCAAAGTACTGTACAACCTCTCAGGCAAATATATTTGAATACATAGGCACGCCTGGTCTCTTCTGGAGGTGGACTCTCATTGGAGTTATTTAAGGTCGAATCAATATAGATCTTACAAAGTGTTCGTCCTACAGGAAGTTCTAATCATATCTGAAATCCTCTCTCTCTCTCCATGTATATATTAAGCACAAAATGTGGGATATTATGTGGCACCTATATCGAAATGATTTCACAGTCAAGGAATAAAGTAACTGTACATTTTAAAATTTTACCTGTCTAACACACAATATAGAAAATTTTCAAAATAAAAATCAAACTTTTCGTTGAAAATAATGTGTCAGAAAGATAATTTCACCATCGTAAATTTTTTCGAAAAATAATTTTAAAATATTTTCTAAATTCATTTATGAATTAAGAAATTATATAAAAATCTCACGTGTGAAATCCTTTTTAAAAATATAATTTTTGTTAAATAATCACGTTAAATACATAATTTTATAAATGATAAAACATTTGTGTAACAGATGTTTTCATTATATTACGTAACGCTTTAATATAATATTCGATTATGTATAATAAACCTATATTTTGTGTGTTTTAGAATATTATTCTCAGCACATATATATATATATATATATATGGAAGCAATGGTCGCCTCTCCCGTCTAAATAAACGTCAGAATCTGACGCCATCTATTGACCGTCGCCGCAACTAGCGGCATCAGGTCGGTGACAAAGCCACAACACCAACTTTGGCAAACTGATAAGCGTCCACCTAGAGACCATGGTTTCGGGCTAATGGCCCTCGTAAGTCTATGGCGGACTTTATTCCATGAGATCCGAAACATGGTCTCTAGGTGGACGTTTATCAGTTTGCCAAAGTTGGTGTTGTGCTTTGTTACCGACCCTGCCTAGTTCCTCTTATCTTCCTCTTACACTTTGAGACCATATCTTTACACACCAGTACTTTGATTGCAGATAACCTTCATAGCAAATGCTTTAGTCAATATTCTACCTTCTCTGAGGCCTTTGAGTCTTCCTTTTGTAAAATCAGAATTTTCTTATTATGACGCCCTTTTTTCTGCATTGGCATTCTATAAATTGAATATGATATTTAAGAATATAAAAAGAAGATATACTTATTTAATGATACGCTAGGAGGCTATTTAAAATGCCCTTTAATTGTTAAAAAAGGCTAATTTTTATGTACTTACATATAATTTAGGTTTAGAAAACCGATGATTCAAATGCTTAATGTTCTTATTGGTATGAAATATTTTGTCGCCAGTGTATCTTTGTGTAATATCAGGTAATATTTGAATAAAGAGGTTAATGATGGGGCAATGTAACGTTGTATCACAAATTAATATGTAAAGACAGTTATAAACCTTTATATAACAATAATTATGCAATGAAAGTTAACGTTTGTGTAACAGATGAGTATGTGACGCAGTTAACGTTTA